ATAGCTCTGGCGAGCAGAGCCGCCACAGTAACAAACGCCGCATTCTCAAAATCACTGAGTTGAACGTCAGGCGTCCTTAGCTCAACTCGCCAATGAATGTTCTCCTGGGCCGGCGGTGGCGGTTTCAGCCGCACCTAGCGCAGTAATGATTTATAGTTATCCAACCAGCCGTGAAAGTATTACGATTGGCCACAACGTCGAATACATGCCCTCAAAATGCTCAGTCGAGACAGAATTGTCCAGATCTACCCTCTCTTTGAAGATGATCATCGGGTCTCTGAAGAGACGATTATTGCAGTGCAGTGACTAACCCTGATCTAACGATTTGTCCAAGCTTATGTGGGGAGGCAACTAGTGCAAAGAGATTATGCCAGTGCTATTGTGAATTTAGACGTCAGAACAGATGCTCACCTGTAGAAGCAGTATGCCATGTAATCAGCCAGAGGCTCATCCATACCGCCTTGGATGAGCCTCAGTTTCTGATCGGAACGGTGCTCCACGGGCAGGTCTGACATCTTAACTGCTTGAGCACACTGACTGACGTATCTGAATACGGCGAACTATCAACGACCGGGAATCACAACTAATTAGGAACAAAATAACCGCACACCCAATATACCGAGTACAGTCGAACAAACGACTATTCAATATCCCTATACTCCGACAATCTACGAACAATGGATCCACGAAAGAGTAGGGGAGTTCAAGCGGATCAGTTCTCTGTGTTATTATTACCTGTGGATGACTTCTGGCATGCGCCCTTGTTGTCTGTACACAGCGCTCCCTCGAGTCGCCTCCGCAAGAGTTCGATCATCGACACACTGGTTGAGCAGCTGATACCGAACATCGTAATCCGATACTAAGCCTGACAAGATCAACGTTGAATTTACCAGACACATCTAGCTAGTGACCTCGCTGGAACGGCGCTGCCGCTGCCAACGCCATAAAAAGCGGAGAAACGACACAAAACTGGTCATGAAGGGCCCTGGCCGCATCCAGACTTGCGGATTCGAAAGTCATCTGAGAGGAGCTCACCATACAAACCATTGCTTCACACTGTATGAATTCATCGAATGCAGGCTGGTGAGCGCTGACCGACCTGTAGGCAGCTCTGACCGAAGCCGAAGACCGTGGCGTCCATGTAAATCCTTCCCTTCAGTGGATTCATCTCGTCAGTAGCAGCATTTTGCTGCACTTCCCATGCCGAAAGTTCCGGATCACAGTCAATGGTACCCCAGGTGGGAGTATTTTTGTCTTTATACAGTGGAGCCGAGATGCACACCTGGAATTGGCAGAGGAAAATCAGCCAGAAGCCGGTCCTAACCGCATATAACGAGGAGCCTAATACGCAAATGGTAGCTAGCTGGTGAAAGGAACACAGACCGCATCAATGGCGTATTCCAAGCATCAACAGGAGAACTAGATAAATTGATTCAGATCAGAGTATCTCCGGTCCCACCTTGGCTCCTTTGCGTTTCCTAACGCTCCGCGTAAGTGTTTGGAATCTGGCATGATTGGTTATGACGCTCTCTGGCACCATTATGCTTCTCGAAGCCGGGCCTCCGAGAGCCTCCCCATCGTGTGTATAGGAAGCTCCCATCGTAGGGAAGGCAGCGATGCTCGCGAGCTCAACATCTTCGGGTAAAACCTCTTTGATCAGTTTACGACGTGTACGAAGGCTGTCGAAAACCCTGGCGGAAAAATCGGGTTGAACGAGATCCATCGGGGGGTCCGAGACTGCCTCGATCATATAAGAGGCGTACCTAAGAAGTACAACGTAGTTAAGAAGGCATCATTATTTCAGCTGCATGCCGACGTAATGATATACATCGATAATAGAAAAGACGAAGAGAGTCCTCAACTTACTCAGGTCGCCAGATGTCGCCGTCACCCTTCCGGAGGATGGATATCAGCTTATCAGCATGACAGTAAGGTTTGGGAGGCTTTCCCTTCTCCATTTGGATGAGCATATATTCCATCTGATATCAGAATACTTCCAAACCATGCAGCAGAAGAGGCAATTTCAACTCTACCTCGTCTCCCCATTTCAGCCTACATAGTGGCTTCGTCCAATTCCGAGAACGCTGCCAGTTATTCAGTAGTTGCTCTATCGCAGAGCTCTTCACCACCTGAGCGAACGACCACTGTTCCTGTGGATGGGACTAGTACTTGACGAATTCTCATGGAGGGTTCGATGGGCAGATTCTGCACATCTGTATGTGCACTGGAGATCGTCCTACTCCCTCTAGAGTGAGTTAAGAGCATTTCCTCATTCGATTGGCGACACACAGAGTGGAAACAGGTATCAAATCGTTATGGCTACCTCATGCGTCTTCCTAGCCTCCTCGAAAGGGATTGGAGTGTAGGCATCCAAAAAGCCCATGATAAGTGGAAAGAGCGCGAGAAAAGTGGCCAACTGCCAGAAAGTATCACTCCTAAGGGAGATCAACGACACGTGTGAGAAAATAAAAATTCCTTCCACGTCACACTAATAGTACTAATGACTGACGACAGTTGAGCCCTGCTGTGAGCTGAAATCGAAGGCCGAATATATTGCTCTTCCTAATTGGATCCGAGGAACTTCAAGAATTCTCAAGAGAATGACCGCCCTGGACACCACAATACACAGATAATCAAGAAACACATCGAAACTTCATGCATCATCACTTCTCGGTTTTCCCACTCTCGAGTTTGAGCCTAGCGAGCTTCCGATCAAGAGCGGTCTGCTTCCCTTCAAGCCATTGTCGCCGCTCGTTCGCCAGCTTCACTGTCCATCCCGTCCAACGCCAGTTAGGCAGGTGATTTACTCGCTTCAACCACACTCCGTGATACCTGTGCAGATATACACGTGGAATGAAACATCATCTCTTTAGACTGGCCCCTGCTACAAACATGCAGTC